GTCATTGTGTGATTTGATCAAGGACGCTTGTCGAACAAACGGATTCATTAGTTCAAAAGGTGCATCAAAGGAACAATGTAACTGTGACTTAGATGTTGGATCATACACGATTGAACATGCCATTATTCAGTTGAAATCGAAAAATGTGGACCTGTTTCGATCGTTGATGAGTGGACAATATCGATTCAAAGTGAAATTTCAAGAACATAAACACACAGTGGGATGTGTGATTGGTTACATGACATTAGCAAAAAATAAAAATGCTTTTTGAAAATAAACCCAAAATAAATGCTGTTTGATGAAAGTGCTTAATTCACGTTAGACATCAATAATATGACGCTTACTCAAATTTCTCATTCATGATGATTGTAATTATAGCTATTCTTCGAATATACGACTGCCGCTAATGTAGTTAGCCTTAGAAAATCGAAAGGATATCACAGGCTTTTAGAATAGCTAGACTGTTATTCAAATAACTTTCTTTTCTCTAAGCGCTAAAGAATTTCCATATATTTCTTTCTCTATCGCCACTTCCGTTTGATAGTCTTCGTCAATCTATGTTCAGAAATCTCTTCACTTCTTACACTTTTACTGTATTAGATTATTGTGTTGTACGTTAGTACTTGAAATTCTTCTCTCATCAGTGTATTTTTTTGTCTGCTAAACGTACAATTTAGGCATCACAATCATTTGATTACTAAAAATAACAACAAAAGACTTTCTAAACACGTCAAAAAGGAAAACTGCGAGAAAAGAGTTTCCATTTGCAATCACATTACTACCACCATCAAATTTTGTGTTAACCAAATATTGTTCTATCTGATCTGAATACTGAACATCATCAACATCCAGAATTCCTAGACAATATTGATAAATGAAATAAGTCAGCCCATGATAAAATCAATATAATAGATGCACTTTGTATAAACAACGAGTTCATATTTGTAGTCGAACTGAGTGCACATTACTATCTGATGTAATATTTCTGGTTTATGGTCTAGGAAATCATGCATATTTCTCGTTTTGCGAACTACTCTTTAGTATACCGTTGTAAACAATCTGCTGATAAAGACAATGAGGTTGCTCAAGAATGCATACTAATCATAGCTTCAAGGAAACAAACATACAAATGTATCCAATATTTTCTATCCTAGATAAAACTGATGCAGGCTTTGGACATCCACTGTAGCAGCTCATGAGAATAAGAATATTTTTTCAGTTTAAATACTTTTGCTGCTGCTATATTACTCCGTGTATGTTACATATAAGTCAGTGCTTGTGGAGTAATAAACGCTCTTGAAATGATTAAATGTGAGAAATTATTTGCTAAATACTGATTTGAGTGCTGCATTTTATATTTGCGATGTAGGCTTGATCATCTTTGAATTGTTGACTGGCATTTAGTAAATCGTTAATTAATTCGTGACACAAAACAGTGTGACGATCTTGATGATTTTATTTAGTCAATAACTCCTGTACCACCTCGACCTAGTGCAAGTACTTGATGCTAATAATGCAAGATTTTGGAGCATTTTCTGCATAAGAAATATTTCATGTTCTTTCAACACAATCATTATTAGTACTCTGTACAGAGTCCGACATGAGTCGAATAATTTAGCATCCGTTCGATCTGGACCAGATTAATCCTTGAAAATTTTAGTCGAATAGAGCAACGAAAAACTATTTAGTTTTTTATTCTCTTTCAATGTTTTCTTCTTGATCAAGTCTATATCACTTTACTAACCGTGATTAAAATATTTAGTGTTACTGTAGCATATACTCGTCACAGTAACATTATGGTACCAATGTTCGTCGCTCACTAAAAATGTTTTACAGACACTAAGTCTACAGTTATGATAATTGTCTTATTTCAATGAACTTGTTCCTTTATGAAAGTTTCTAGTTCGCTAATTCTGAGCAAGAAGTTCGAAAAGTTTTAGTTGTTAATTTCAGCTTTATTATATTAAAAAGAAGCATAGTGTTGCCAGAAGTGAAAATACTTGCTGCGTACTAGTTTTACACCTACTGCCCAAATGAATAATAGTTGTTGTTTTTGTTTGCTACTAAATTTTACTTTCCTCTCAATGACAATGGCATTAGTTTAAGGTTTTGCTGAAGAATCGTCGGATCCATAGAAAGTACACCGGGGTTCACAATACTGACCACATATGTATACTGAATCTCTTGTCAACTTTGTTTCCTTATTTTATTCTGTTTTTATTTCTCTTTTAAAAAAAAAACCACTGATTTCAACCAATTTAATTGCGTCCACAGCAACAGTTCACATCAAGTTTAACGTTGAAATTATACAAGCGTTAATATAATTGGTAGATCGAATCTTGAACTATTCCACTAACACTTTGACAGTGGTGAGCCGTCAGCCCAAAACATGTGAAATGCCTCTAGTTTTTTATATGTTTATTCCGTTTTAGTATATCCTCCTGTGATCGAACTTTTTGATGATTTGATCGAACTTTTTGATGATTGTCGTTGTTTTTTTAAATCCGTTTTTATTTTATAATATACTTCATGTGTTTCATCTTTTAATTCATTTAATGTATTTTCATTAACGATTTGTTAGTTACTTCCATTAGTTTTAATATACATTTTTCAAAAAAAAAAATCAGAAAGCCAACTGAGATTATTGTCATCATCTTCAATTTTAAAAATTTCTTTTTCCTCAAGATTTCAAGTACCAACTGTTGATGTTTGAGAGTCTATGCTCTGATTGTTCTCATTCTCAGTTGCAAAATTATTATACAAATTGAAACTGATAGTGATTGTTATATAAGACCAAAGAATCTTCTTAGCTCATAGATAAATTTTTACTTTTAAGTTTTCTTGCTCTCATTAGACATGATTTGATTCGAAGCGCTTCTCTTATAAATCAAATTAAAAAATTTTTAGAAAAGTTATTTATTTATTTTTTCAGTCTACATAAAACCCAAACCATCCTAATTCGTAGTCTAAATCGTTTAGAGCAATATAATATAAAATGATTCTATAGATATTTCCGAAATAATTACTGAATAATACCATGACATGGGATAATTGTTGAAGAATGAAAATATAAAATAAATAATTGTTAGTGGTATAAAGGAATAAATGTAATAACTGTTTCAGACAGAATATCACATGTGAAATTATACTAAACAAAATGTTGTTGTTAAACGTAGTTACGTGTTATAAACGCTATAAAAAAAGAGCTTCTACATCATACAATCATAAAAATAAATTTAATATAAAATGATCAAAAGGAAATAGAGTGAGAATATTTATTTTTCATTTTTTTGTTCCTGCTGCTGTTGTTTGTTCACTGATACTGTTCGTTTTTTGTGATAATTTATCATTAGCGGCAGTGATAGATTTTAATTTTAATTCAGCTTCATCTTTTTTCTCTTTTTCTTCGACAATATGTTCTTTTCTTACTAAATCGATAACTTCTTTCAAATGTTGTTTGGAAATTTTCACTTTTTCTGATGCAATCAATTCAAGTGCCTAAAACAACAACAAAAAGACACTGTAATCTAGTAAATCGATAGAAAAGTATGTTTTAATAATGAGTGTTCAGTCCGAAACAGCAAAAATATAATTAAATGTATATTTCTCTCAATCGTTAGTATATTCAACATCTAATCATCAATGTCGAAGGTACTCAGTTTTATTTAACAGGTCATGAAAAAAAGATAGTATCAGTAACCAATCAGGTCTGCATGTATCAAGTATCCATCATCCTCTCCAATAAAACATTAGTAATACAACTATAGAGTAAAAATAACTAGTCAAAGTAAAGTAGAATTGCTCTTACTTTTAATATCTCATCCACTTGAATATAACCATCTCTGTCAGGATCAAACTGTTGAATTATATCCTCCATTTCTGCTTCTGATGCTTGACTGGACATTTTCTGAATTTGACGAATTGCATTTACCAATTCTTGTGTTGTTACCAATTTATCTCTATATCAGACAAGTAAATTTTAAACGACATAAGTTTAATTTTCTGATGAATTTCCTACTTTTTCTGTGATAAGAAATCTTTATGTTGTTGTATCAAATCAGTTTTGAGTGCCGCTTCATCTTTCAAAGTATCTTCTTCAGACTAAAACCAGGACAATCAAGTGTAGCGATAAATTAGTTAGAGATAAATACCGCGCTTGTCATCTTACTTTAATATCTTTAATTAAAACATCTTGTTTTTTATCTAACGTGTTAACAATCCCATCTAAATCAGTGACGAGTTTGTCGATACGTTTAGATAAATGTTTTGCAGAACGTGTTTCAGTTAAATGTTTCAATTGTTTTGTTGCTGCTAATGTTTCAAATTCTTTAACGTCATCTTTGTATTCTTTAACGTCATCTTTTAATTCTTTGATTTCAGCTACATGAACATCAACTTCTTTCTCTTTATCTTTAACTAATTGTTCCAAAGCGGTTTCAAATTGTGTAATATCAATTCCTTCGTCTAAATATAAAAGAAAGAGTAATAAAACAAAGTTTCAACTAGATTCGAATTGTACCTTTTTTCGCTGCTTTATCCTCTAATATTGGTGCCTTATCAACTAGAATTTCTTCCTTCGGTATATCGAGTGGTGTTGTAGGTACAATAACTTGTTCTTCGAGTTTTTTTCTCTTCTTTTCTTCTTCTGTTGGCACTGCTGGCGTTGTCTCTTTCAATTTTTCTTTCGCTTTTTCTTCTTTTTCTTTTCTAATAGCTTTTTCTTCTTGTTTAATTGCTTCTATACGTTGGGTATTATCAACACGTTCACCACTCACTTCAGCTATTTTCACAGCTGTCGCATTATCTAATGTTTTTGGTAAAGCTTGAATAGCTGCTTTCAGAACGTTTTCTGGTGTTATTGTTTCCGGTAGATAGAGTGAGCGTGATAATAGCAGCAGTGTGGAGGGTATACGCGAATTTAGATGTAAGTCAAGCCATTGTTTTAATTGTGATTGTAAACGTTCAATGCTAACACCTAATGAACGCATACCACGTTCACGACATGCTATTTGTAACTCATCAACATCTAAACTATCAACACCTTCAGCTTGAATTAATTTATCATCTGCTTCTAAATTTCTTAATTTCATATGAAGAGTAAAACGAAGAAAATAATCGGGTCCAAGTGTGGATATGCCCAATAGTTTACACAATGCAACTAATTGCGGACGATCTAAATTATCTAATGTTAATTCATCTTCAAATAATGAAGAAAATTTCATGATTTCATCGGTGGATGGTTGAACACCGGTGGAACGAATCTAAATGAGCGAAAACAGTTTTTACGATATATTGTATCACATCAAAACTTACCTTTTCCATAAATTCACCAAATTGTGCTGTCATTGCATCATCTGTTTGTTTTTTATTTGTTTTTAATGCAGTTTCTTCAAGTGTATCTTGAAGAAATTTAGCTACTTCTAATTTTGCTTTCAACTGCTGTTTTAATTTTTCTTGCTAGAACAAAAAAAGAAACAATAATAGAAAATCTTCATTAAAAATGATAGCGTGTCACAGTCTAAACTTACTTCTTTATCTTTCTCTTTAAATGTGCTTGGTAACATATTGGGAAAGAATTTTAGAAATAATGGTAATGTAAATTCCATAAATGGTACAACAATAAATACAGAAAATGGAACAAGACGAAATAAATCAGCAGCTGTACGAGTAAACTAAATGAAAAATAAACAATAATTCTTTGCGGTTAGTCTCAGAACATATTCTTATTGTAATGATATCAGATATTTATCATCTACCTGTCTTCTTTCTCTTCTCGTCAATGAATGTCCACTTAAAACTTGTTTTAATAGTCGAAATGCAATACGCGTTTCAATAAATAATAGTTTAAATCCGTTATAATAGTGTTTCAATTCTGACCATATTTTTCCCCACAATGTTTTTCGTTTAGCTGGTAAAAACATTTCAGCATTTGGTTCAACTGGTTTCGTAAAATTGCTTGTTGGTAAATCCAGTTGTTTTGCTAATTCATAAGACATTGCCGGTTGTGATTGTGCTTTTTTGGTACTTTGCTCTTGATCTTTTTTTAATATTTTCACTGTTTTTTCAACTTTTGATTCATCTTCATAACATATCGATGATACATGAAACAAACGATAATTTATTGTAGGAATTATTGAACGATTTCTCAAGTAATTTGTTGGTAGTCTAAAAGATAAAAATATATAGTGAAAATTTTACCAAAAAAAGCGAATTACTTACCTTTGTCCATGATAATGAACATATGACGGTGACCTAGAGACATCAGCTGTGATGAAGAAAAAGATGCATGTTGTTTCAATTCGCAGTATTAGTTTATTACATACGAACCTATATTTTTCAACAAATAACGTGGTATTGTTGAAAAACGTTGATGTGAATATGAGCTAATATAGTTATTAATGCGTATTACATTCATTCGCACAAAGTCCTAAATTGAAACATTCAGACGTCATTCAACGAAAAGTAAAACTTCTTATTCTTAGCATTTAACTTTCTTTCATGCGTCAATAATAAATTATCGGTTGTTTAGTACGTCTTCTAATCCGTTTCCCGTACGCCTAAATCCTTCCCAATGGCGAAAATATTTGGCCTATACTACTAAAAAACTATTAATTCCCTAGAACTTAGTCATGACAGCACACTTGAAACAGAAAGATTCTGCTGTGTTTTTGAAGTGTACTCACTTGAAACTTATTCCTTCTTAAAAAATGTAATTTTATACTAAAAACAATCTAATTTACACATTTCAATGTAACAAACAAATACAATCAAATCTAAAAAAAATTAAACAGCAATAATGAAATCAGCACATTTTTCTCACAGGAATTTAGAATAAAAAAAAGGGACTAATTAGATCATTATCAAATTTCGAATGAATTCGAGCTAAAAAAACTAAATCAATAAAATCAGAAGCATAATTAATAAAGTAAGAGACTATGGTTCGATCAACACGCTGTTACAACTTTATGTTTTTCAGATTGTTTAAAATCTGTTTTCATATTTCGTGAATTAATTCGATACTTTGGCTATGACAACGAATACTTCATTATTTGTCTGCATCCTTCCACATTTATATATAACGGATGATTTACTAATTTCGTTAGTAGAAAATTCAATATTAACACAGGTCAATGCTAAATCAACAGCTTAGTTGAGCTACAGTTTGATATGAATCCCTACTTTGAGGACACTTTGTCCCCTAGCTTATGGCAAAATTAGAGCAAAATGCATAACGTAACTAAACATACTTTTTAGTTTACAAAAAATAAACACTAATTTCAAATCTAATGTTCCAGAGAACGATGAAGATGTTTTCATAGAAAGAATGTGTTCTTAACGCTGAAGGTGTAGCTTGAATCAAATTGTAGCTCAGATGTATCTCAACTAAACTACATTCTTGGTCAATGTAGCTAACGTTGCTCTCAATAAATATGATCGATTAAACATATGGTTCTTTTTTGATATTGAAAATAAAAATCTTATAACTCAACGTCTAGCAACGATAACTAAAGCCACCGTAATAGCGATCAGCTCGATCGACTTTGTTGTTATATACACAATATATTTCATTAAAATCTTCGTCAGCACCTATGACTAAGATACGTTCCCATAACACATTCGTATGGTTCGTTTTTGATTCTATACTCATAACATCTCGTTGTTGATTGGTTAGGTTAATGTCCAATTGTATATCCTAACCGCAAATAGTGATTTCTACGTGATGTGGTACGACACGAGAAAAAGAAGACAAAATAAAGAGTGCCATCTTACAAATAGAATTTTCAGGTAAGGTTATTGCCCAACACCAATTTCTTGATACGTATGTTGCCTGTACATGGGCGAACACAGGTATGTCTCATACATTGTCAGACATGCAAGTCGCAAGCCCAATACATGTACAGATGTATGTGAATCCAGAGAATATATTAATCCTGCATGCCGGAGATGGATACTGTCAATAATGAGGCTTATACGAAAACTTATATCGGTTGTTCTACTGTTTAGGACATATTATTCGGAAGCCGTATTGTCGAGATTAATACCGAAAGATGCTGACTGGCTTTTACATCGAAATGTGAGTTCATCAAATAAGTGATGTTTTATTTATCAACGTTATTTATGCACTTGCGAAATTTTGGAGTAAGCAAAGAGGACTTTAGTTGAAGAAAAGCATTTTGATGCCCGACATTAATTTCATCTTGGTACAAAACTCGATGCTGTTTATCGTTTAGCACAATTACGAAACTGGATATGTCCACACTGGACGAAAACCTGAGATTCCTAAAAAAAGTCACAAATCAGAGTAACAACGGAAACAATATTCTGCTTATTTTAAAAATTATGAAGTTATGCTTCTGATATAGTTTTCAATTATTTTTATATGGGTAGAGAAAAGCTTGGACACCCATGTCGTTTAAAAATCGGCGATTATCGCATTTTTCGAAAAAGTCGCCGTTTAGCTGCGATAAGTCGGCGACTTTTCAGCAGATCGCGAATAAACGTCATCTTGATCTTTTTCTGGAAATGCGATTAATCAGTATTAACCTCTTGAATGCCGTTATTCTTCCCCTTCCGCGCCCAAAGGCATGCATATGTAAAAAAAACGATTAAATATCTCCCTTTGCGTTCTGTCGTTTTCGTCACATGTGTTCCTCTGCCACTTTTTTTTCGTTAAAACGATAGAACGAAAAAGCATATGCAACATATAAAATTTCCTTCATGTCATCTATAGATGCCTTATGGCATTCAAGGGATTAATATAACAGAAAAGTCGGCAGAAGAATCAGTGCATATGACATCTCTTGAAGGAGGAAAGTAAACGGTTTCCGACACTGATGAAACTTAGAAGGAAAGAACAACTTTGTCAGGAAACCGTTTACATCAAAGCAGTTCCATAGTGTGACAAAAGATAACGGAAGGATCTAAAGTCGAAATAGTAGAAAGACGCATTTGTTGTGTACTCACTTTGAACTATCCTGAATTAAAAATGTCTTATTTTCCTTTATAGGTAAAGAATATGCACAGTGAAAGCCCAATTATAGATAAAACCTCAAAAAACTGATTGCATCATGTTCTCAAAGAAAAGGTCGAGTAAAACATGATGAAATCAACAGAATACAACTGTCTAACAAAGATAGCTGAAACAGATATATCGCATAGAAGTTTCCTTAAGGCAAGCGCAACTTAGTTCTGGTAGTGCCTGAATCTTGGCATACTCGTGTCGTGGTGCCGTTAAGATGCATGAAACTTAAAACTTCGACTATAGCGCCATAGTGTATTCTTGCTTGTGATTCCTCGAATTTTTCAGTCACTAGATAATAGAGAACCTATTTCGTTACTTTTCTCACAACTACCACACTGTAAATTCGTTTCTGAGAAAAGTCCGTAAACAAAGTTAAGTAAAAAGTAAAGTTCGTATCCGAAAAATCACGGACTCCTCAGAATCAAGCAGAAAAGCACGTGAAAAATCATTCACAGAGTTTTCTTTATATAGCTCTAACTTGCAAAGGTCTGTGAGTGATTTTTCACAGACTTTTTTCAGTGACTATAATGAATAAAGACAAATTTTTTATTCATTTTGTAGTTTGATCAAGTACATGCACATCACATCGCGGAGACTTTGATTTTTAACACTTTTCGAGAGTTTTTCTTGGTAGTAGGAATGCCGAAAGTCCCTCTTGCTCTAGTTTGCATTGAAATGACAATTTAGCTCTCTTTAAATCCCTTTTTTTGTGAAGTCTTATTGATTCGACCTTCCGTGCTGCAGTGGGTCAGAAGAAGAAAATGATCTTTTGAGTAGGAATCGAAGGAAAGCATAACTGCAGATTCTAGTCTTAGTAACTTTAAGTCTTTCCGACCCAGCGTTCTCTTTCCACGGACAGTGATTAAAACGCGTTCATTACTAGAACTATTTTCTAATTACCGTTATGGTTTTCGTTTCAGATTTACGTATTTGCTTCTAGATTATTATTATTTACACGTTTCGTGCATTTCACCAGCTTTCTGTTTTCTTTTCAAAGTTTTCATCAAAAAAAGAAGCGGATCGCTTCACTAAACTTCCATTCGATTCTGTTTCTCAAAATCTCGAAGACATAAACTAATAGATAAAGTGGAAGAAAACCACTTTTAGTTTGTCATGTTCTCACTTTTGAAAGAACCGTTGTTTACGCAAAAGCTTTTTGTTTTTTTTCGTCATAAACGGTAAATTTCCAAGTGCTTTAGCGACATTTTTCTTTGAGAAAACTCACAAAAGTTGCGCGCATGTAGAAAAATTAAAACTAAGAGTTATTCTCCGAAAAGTCTTCGATCCTTCTACTTTTCGACCATCTTGAATTTTAGATACTGAAAAACACTCTCGTATGCAGAAGTGCTTTCTCCTTCTTGGCTATTCT